GAAAATAGGGTCGGGAGACTTGAAAAAGTCGAGGACGAGGCCAAGAAGACCCAAGGTGTTATAGAGTCCCACCTTGATATATTGGAGTCCATGGAGGACAGGTTCAAGGACGAGACGCATCGAGTTCTCAACGAGTTGGAGATGGTTTAAGTGAGTAATGCCCATGAAGCCGAGGTGATGACTTTGAGAAACGAGGTCGATGAGCTCAAGAAGGAGCTGCTCATATGTAAGGAGCAATGAGTGAATGGGGTGCGCTCAAGACCTTTTTAGAAGGACTTAGACAGGGGTGATTCTCGGGAGAGAGCAAGGTGATGCCCAGAGAGTTTCAGAGGCCATAGCTGTAGTAGGAAAGTTGACCGAGCTTGCGAGAGACAATCCAACTAGCATTGTGTCATCCAGGCCCATGCTCAGGGATAGTTACAATAGTGGAGAAGACCAGAAAAAGGTACAGCTAGGAGATAGTAGAGTAAGCTCTTCGAATGAACAAGGTGAGCCATCGACTGTTCGTAGCCAATGAAAGTCATCGAGAAATAATTGCAAGGCTAAGTCCGGTGTGAAGAAGAAGACGAGCAAGGAAAAGATGAAGTGTTACTTCTGTGATGATCCTCATTTAATTAGACGATGTCTCGAGAAGCATCACCTTACAACCATCATGAAGAGGATAGGAGAAAGAGAAGTAGTGGGAATTGACATAGTTACAAGTATTAAAGCTACCAAGCAGGGAAAAGACTTAGTCTGATTGAAGGTGTCAATGCTGTCAAGCAAGGAACAAGACGAGGTACGACTGTTGATGTTGAGGTAACTGAACCCAGAGGCAAATTCGATACGATTGCGAGTATCCAAGTAATCAAGTCAGTAGAAAGACTTGGTGAGGCTACATGTTCCAAAGTAGCCGAATCAAGGAGTAAGCATGGTGCGACTACAAGTTCTCAAGTAGTCAACCCAGGATCGAGACATGACAAAACTACAAGTGTCAAAGCAATCGAGCACAAGAAAGGACCTGGTGCGATAGCGAAAGATAAAACCATCAAGTCGAGGGTACAGAGTGAGCAAGATCACTCACAATATGCCAGGATAGAGGCGCGGTCCAAGTTGAGGCATCTCTGGCATAAAGGGACACTTCAGGAGTATGTGTGTCGATTCAGAAAAATCAAGCTCAAAGTCCCAAGTTTGACTGAAGAAGATGGGGTATTCACCTCATGTTTTGATTGAAGCCATGGACGAAGAAAGTGTTGGAGTGAAGGGAAGTCAAGGAGTTGTCTAAAGCCTTGACAACCTCCGAGTCCATCAAAAAATTTAGAGTCAAATAAAATAATACTTCCAAAGTAAAGCCAAAAGACGAGAGTATTGACATGATAAAGGCAAGCCAAAAGATATTGAATGTTGTTCCTTGAGTGGCAGAGAAAATCCTCTCAATGATGAACTAGATGGTGGATCTGGGGAAGATACGTGCAGTCTTGGCACAAGTTCAAGTGTCAAAGATGCTAAGTTGAGGGAAAGAATCGAGCAAACGAAGGGCGCCAACTTAAGATGCCATAAGTGTTGCAAGATTACCTGAGGGGAGCCGAGTCATCCAATGTGATTGTTAGGCCCATGATCGAGTTTTCCAGAGAAGAGGACGAACCCAAGAATGAAGAAGCAATGAGACTTGAGTCAATAAGGTTTGTTTCTGCCAAGGCGAGTACTACCCAAGTGTAGGAGGCGTTGTCCATGTCCAAGGAGTTTACCGAGCATGTTCGTGTAGAGAACATGGCTTCAGAGACCATCATAAGAGATGGTTTGAAGGAGGGGCTTACCAAGGATGTTTAAGTGAGGAACAATTCTTCAAAGACTAGTAGACAAGAGTCGAAGGGGGCCAAGATGTTGAAAGAAAAGGTAACCATGGAGAAACTACTCATTTGCAAGGTGGGAAGTGAGCTCCAACCTTCGTGTTAGAGGGAGGAGGCAAGAAGAGGCATCAGACTTTGCCATGAGAAAGTAACGATGCATGGTGGCGTAAAGAACTCTAATGACAAGGGTTCGATGCGAGGAGTGCCATACTTCATGGAGTAAGAAGGGTTGATGTATTTTTTTAGTAAATGCCAACAAAATTAAAGGGGAAGGTACATCTCAAAACTATTCTAGTGTTTTTTTGAGTTTAATTTGTTATCTTTAATGAGTGTAAGTCAAGTAATACCTAGCATTTTGCATAGAGGGAACAAAGATTAGAGATGATCCAAGACTTTGTTGTAGGGCCAAAAGGGTCCAAGACGAGATAAATCAAGACCTGTAGGAAAGGGTTCCTATGGTAGAAATGTACTTGTGGGCATATTAGCCCATTTCATCACTTGGCGGCAATAGCTGAAGCAAGCACAACCTTTATGGGAGGTAGAGTCCTTATGGGGAGACGTGAGCAAGTGGAGGCGTCGAAAAGTAACCAAGTTGATGTGAAGTATGGCGCGAGGGATCATGAAGTTACATGCGGTAGAAGCCAAGCCAAGCAGTTCGTATGGGAGGACCGCAATAAGCCAAGGCATTGAGAAGTATCCAAGGTGATGTTGCCCAGGATCGTCGAGTGCAGCGACGAGCACGTCTCTAGGTTCAGTGGGGGAGAATGTCGCAGGCCGTGATCTTTGGGTCTGAGACATTGGTGCAAGCGTCCGATAAAGAGGTTCAAGATCAAATATTGGGCTTCCAAAGATTTTCATTCTTGGCCCATCACTTGGAGAATGTTGTGGAGCTCGTTCACATTGGCCGTATAGAAAAGGAAAGTGACATCAAATCCGAAGATGATCATAGAAGCTCGGTAAATATGGTAAGAGACAACAAATCAGGAAGATATTGTAGGAGAATCTTACCATATCCAGTGTGAACACCTATCTAAGGAAAGAATCCTACTAATGGATGTAATTAGGTATAATTGAGTTGTAAATCCTTGATTTAGGGTATTTTATATTAATTGGGCAAATCTTAGCCATTGATGTAAAACAATATGGGCTATTGATTGAGAGGGAGCTCAACTTTAAATAGAGAGCCTCTCATCCTCATTTGTATAATCCATTCCATTCATTCTATTTGGAGAGTAATAAAGCTCTGAGGCATTTACTCAATACTTTCAATGTTCTTTGCTCTTCATTCTCTTTGTGTTGTTGCCTATCTTGGTGGTCAGGAGTAGCCACACTTGTGTTTGCACTTCCACACGATAATCCAACCTTGGTGGGTTGGAGTAGCCACGTTCGTGTTAAATCTTCCGCAATTCTAGAAGCCTTGAGGGCTTGGTTCCAACCTTTGTGAGTTTGCATGCTCACTAGGCTTGGGTAAGGCTTAATTAGTCGCAGAGAAGACCAAGAAGCGTTAAGAAGTGTCTAAGGTCGCACGACCCATCAAACCATAACTCTGATATTCCGACGGTTTGGGCTTGAAGGTTCTGAGGGCGTGACAATATCATCTTATATTTTTTAACATATATCTATATCTTATTATTATTTGTGAAGTTTTTTTAATTCCGATAAAGTTAACATATATTATTTTAATTAATTTTTATTTTTAAATAAGAAATAAGAATACGTGTGGAGTTATTAATTGAAGGGTAAAGTTCACTAATGGTCCTCTGACTATAGAATACTACTTTATTGAGTCTCTCGACTATTAAAAGTTTCAAAATGGTCACCCGATTATTCATTATATTTTAAACTCGTCATATTTTAAAAGAAAATCAATGGTCGTTTGAGTTGGATGTAACATTTCGATTGAGGTATGATAGTCGTTTAAGATTATGATCAAATTTTATCATATTTGAATCAAGAAGTTAATGAACAACTCAGTCTGTCGTTAGTTTTTAACGAAAAAGGATAAGTTTTGACATAATAAATAGTTAGATGACCATTTTATAACTTTTATTAGTTGAGGGAACTAACAAAGCAACTCCTTATAAATGAAAATAGTCGAGAGTTTATTTTGTAACTTTTAATAGTCAAGAGGCTCAATAAAACAAGATCTTATAGTCAAGGGACCATTGCTATACTTTACTATGATTCAAATAAAAGGTTTTCACAAAAGGTAAATCAAATAATAATCCGTGTGGACGCGTAGGAAAGTAACAATGAAAACATAAATGAAAATAGGCCAAACAGATGCATGTGGACACCCCACCCACTCTCTTTTCCTAGCCCTCTTGGCAGTGCACATGTACAGCTCCATGCGCATTGGCAAATCGGGATAAGCACACTGGTTTTTCCTTTAACCCAAACTTTTATTGTGTTGTTTAAATATTAGACTCCACCCAAGCTGGCAAATATGGTGGTGTTTGGTTTAAATATACCCGAATTTTGGTTTTAAGTGTTCCTCAGAATTCCAAATTAGACTCTACCAATTTAGATGATGTAAATCCCATCTTAAATTCGATCCACATGTCCACTTTCTTATGTAGCTCTAACCATGGATTTTTCCGTATAGTTTGCGTCTATTCCAATATTACTATTATTGTGTTAAAATGTGAGATTTAATCTTTATATTTAATTTCGATATAATTTAATTATTTATTTTTAAGATAAGTTATGTATTGTTTTCAAAATCATTCGTGTAAACCAACGAAAACGATTATTATAATGATTTTAATTAAATAAATTTATTATTTTATTAAATCTTTATAAAATGAGTATCAACATAAGAGCAACTTAAATATAAATACCATGTGTTAGACAATGAACTTTTGGAGAAGAGAATAAATTAAGCCACGTGTGCACTTCGATTAAATAATTAACAAATGTATTCCAAATATTCCAATATATATATAAAGTAATAGCTGTAGAGTGTATAGAGAGTAGTAAGAATTTGTGTATTAAAATTTGAATATGAAAAGGTCCCTTTTATGGTTTTCTCGAAACCCAACCATTGCAATGGCATAGCATAAACGACCATTAATATGTACCTGCTAGCCTGCTATTTTCATTTCCCCAGTCTCTCTCTTTCTCAAGGTGAAGCAAAGGGTTCTCTTCATCCTTAAATACTCGACGTTCCCTTTTTACTAACTTTTCCCATCATCCCCATGAAAAATAAATAAAACTCTTTGCTACTTTCTTTCTCTTTTCCTGCAATTTTTTTTATTCTCTGATCTGGAGGGATCCTACTAAAAAGCCTATCTTCTCTTGTTTCCAACACCATCCATGCACATCATAACCCACTCATAATCTAATCACTCCACTTTTTTCTTTCTGGTCTTTTGTTTTCTCGATTAAGATCTTTACCCAAAGGCCTAAGCTCATATACACTATGTTGAGAACCACGGCCTTGCCTGATCTATCCTTGCAGATTAGCCCACCATCACTTTCAGATTGCAAGGCCAAGGAAATGGCCTACGATGGGTTCTCAAGGAGTTCAACCACTGATTCCGGCAGCAGTGGAAGCGATTTCATCCACGAAAATGGACATTGTAACCCTGGAGAGCTCACGTTGAGCTTAGGGTTTGAAATGGCTGATCATCTCGGTCCTAATTCCCAGCAACCCAGCAACCTTAACCATTATCATCACTATCAATATCAACCTCAAATCTACGGTCGTGATTTCAAGAGAAGTTCAAGAAATATTAATGGAGCGAGAAGAAGCATCAGGGCTCCCAGGATGCGATGGACTACGACCCTCCATGCTCATTTTGTTCATGCAGTCCAGCTTCTTGGAGGCCATGAAAGTAATAATACTTCACCTCTACAATATATCAACTTTTTTTCTGTGTTGGAGAAAAGCATAACAAGTTTACACATATATATATATTTGTATCGGCAACTATCACAGGAGCAACACCGAAATCTGTCTTAGAGTTGATGAATGTCAAGGATCTAACCCTAGCTCACGTGAAGAGTCACTTGCAGGTGGGGTTTACTCTTTGAACAAAATGTGTATGAGAATTGTTTTTATTTTATGATTCTGTCAAAGTTGTTTTGGCTCCTTTATCGTGTTCTATTTTTGTATTTCCGTATGATTCAATTGTAGTGGGTATGGGAGAAACAAGGGGAAAGGACAAAATGGAATCCAAATGGTAATCTCAACAATGTGGACTTTTTTCTCTACTCATTCGTCTCTTTGGGTTTTTCCCCCTATGTTCATGCAGATGTATAGAACAGTGAAGAGCACTGACAAAGGATCAGGTAATTGGATTTCCACCATTTTTATTTCTCTTCAATTATTTTCTCTAGTTTGTTCGGTTACAAACTATGACACAAGTTCTATCATTTGATCCACTGCCTCCCCTACTAAAACAGAACCATTTTATTTGAAACTATTATACTTATTTGAGTCTCAACTCTATCATTTGATCCACTGCTTCCCCTACTAAAACAGAACCATTTTATTTGAAACTATTAGACTTATTTGAGTCTCAACTCTATCATTTGATCCACTTCTTCCCCTACTAAAACAAAACCATTTTATTGAAACTATTAGACTTATTTGAGTCTCAACTGATCTCAAATCTAAATATGAATTATTTGTTTTGTTTTCTGGAAAAGAAAGAACAGTGCCTCAACCTTTTATGGGTATTTCAGGTCAAGTGCAGACAGAAATGAGTTTAATCCAAAGGTCAGGGATTGTTGATTTAGATGGTAAAACATCACCACCACAACAGACGCCACAAAGACCCAAAGGTGAAACCATGTCCTCCATCTGATTTCCTTCTTCATTTCTGTCGCCTAAAGTTAAAAAAAGAACAGACTAATTTTTACGATCGTATGCATACACATATACAATTTACTAGAGTCCCATGTAAATAATTTTAACGAAGACGGCCTTAGGGTTTTTAGGTAATTGTAAAGTCTTTTCTCGTGTTCCATATATATATATATTAATCTTTCCCCCGTTAGATGTGAAATGAATGTATTAATCCTCATAAAGATAATCAAAGTCAAGGCTTTTTTGCTCAAATCTCAATGCTGCTAGAATATGACGGGAATTCCGCAGCTACATTTTACAAAAAGCACCCTATATGTTGGCTTACTATACTATATATAATCATATAAAAGCATGCTTTTGGAGTTACATTATATATGTGTGCGTGTGAAAACTAATGAAGAAATTCTACATAGAGAGAGCATTGTAATTATAAGCACCTTTTTAATATGTTATTTTAAGAAACTAGGTTATCCTTATATACGTTTTCATCTTCCAAGTGGAGGGAGCATGCATTATTTCGTAGCACTAATTATTAGTATTTCCTTGTTTGCAGCGGTTCGTGGTTATCATCAATGGAGGCGAATAATTTGAGCATATCAAGTCATGGAAATGGTTTGACTTTACAGCCAAATGACGATGCTAAGGTATGATTGCAGCACTGAAAACAAAAACCGAATCACGTTGAAAGTTGGATTAAGCTATCATTGTGTTGATAGCCAATCGCATCAATATTGAAATTTTGGTCTGTTTTTTTCACTATAGGTGGATGGAAACAATAAAGTGCTTCATGTGTCGGACAGAAGGGAGAGATTAGATTCCAGCTCTTTGCCGTTGCTTAACCTAAAATTCACCCTCGGAAGGCCGAGCTGGCAAATGGACTATGCTGATGAGTCTTCAAATGAGTTAACCCTTCCCAAGTGTTAAACATAATAATAAAAAAAGCCCAGCTAATTTATTTGCTTTTCTTGTCATTTGGGGGACGAAATATCTAACTTGTTTGAACTAGCTTGTTTTAAATTTTGTTTTGGAATGAAAAGAAAAAACCTAAAAAAGGTGAATCAATGTGTCGACGAGCAGATTCTAATAACGAAATATGAAAACGTTTTGCTGTAGTCTTGTGAGTGTCGTGCAAGGCTTCTGGTTCCATGTAATTTTGATGGCATTGCGGAAAAATAGAATAAAATCCAGCAATCATCCTGACGTTTCTGGGCCATGGCTATGGTCCTTGCTATTTGATACCTTCCAGGAGGGTCCCCAACAATGAACCAGTGGGTCAAGCCCTAGTGGGAAAATATCTATGGCATAAACCCTATATGTAATATTAGACCTTAGGATATCTGATACTATTAATAGTTACTCTAATTAAATATGATCAGGTATCATAATGATTTTTAAGCGTTAATCATGTGATTTTGGCCCAATAAGATGAGCAAACAGTTAGGACGTACAAAATCTGAAAAGGGATGGATCCAATCCAAGCTCCATGCACACAAGAGGGACAGTGGAAAATAATAATAATAATAATGACTCTATCCCTGTCCTATGTATTAATTAAAGTATTAAGTAGCTGAGAAAGCGTGATCATTCTCCATGGACCCAGTTTTGCTGAATAGTCATGAATCATGATTATTGGCTGCTCTTACCTGGCCGGTACATGCAGGAAAGAAACTTAAGGGACCACTACCACCAAGTAACTTGATATAGGTTAAACAAGGGTGATTTGGTTGAGGTACCCTCCCCTATTTGCTTAAATACTAACTTCATTCCATGTAAAGGGAAACCAAATCTTTTGGAAACACAAAGGGACACAAAGTAACTTATGTCCTCAATAAGTTCGGATACAATGGTTTCTTAAAATCAAAGGGATATATATATATATATATTATGAGAAGAGTCGAAAATGGATGAAACACGGTCAGGAAAAAGAAGAAAAAGTGTAAGTTTTCCCCATTGTTGGTTGTCGTGTAATAGCCCACGCCCTGTGGTTCATCGTCCCTGCAACGAGAAAACCAGAAAAATATGAAAACCGGGTACTTTTTTGTTCATATGGATGTAAGGTGATGGGTCGCTTTCAATCTTTTTTATTACCCCCCATGAATGGCTGTACATTTGTCAGATCCAATGGTGATTCAAGTGGGGTTGCAAGGCTGGAAATCAACATTATTATGGGCCTTTTCTGCTCTGTCCTTTAGGCCTTTCAGAAAAATGGTCCAAAAAGTAAAAGGAAATGGTATTGGAAATTGGGAACTGGTCCTTTGTTTCGTCAATAATGATTGCACGGTTGTCTGTTGCGTGGAAACTGTGTCTCTTGAGTTAGGAACGCGTTGCAGTGAATTATTTTCGGTTTAGATTCAATTTTAATCAAATCATTTCAGGGTCGGATTTAATTTATATTTATTATAAATTGAATGGAGTTAAATATGAAACATGTGATCATTTTTTTATTCACACATTACTCCTACAAAGAGAATATACCATAATCCTTTTAATTATCTATTAAAAAGAGGTAATAAAAATTTTTCAGTTGCTCCTACAAAATATCTAGATATTGCCTCCTCTATTAGGTCAAGAATCATTCGTTGTATATATAGGTATTGAAACAACCCTACTTAAATTAATTTAAGGGTAAAGTATAGTAATGGTCACTGAATATTTTTGAAGCTTGCATCTAGGTTCTCTAACTTTTAAAATTTACAATACAGTCTCCCAATATTTAATCCGTTTATAATATGGTCCCTACACCTATGAAAATTAGGATAAATTATATAAATGGTCACTAAACTTTTTAGGTACTTGAATTTAGGTCCCCCAACTTTTAAAACTTACAAAACAATCCAAAACAAACCATAAATTCCAAAGTAATTCAATTTTATTCTAAACCCTAAATTCCAAAATAATTCAATTACATTCTAAAACCCAAATTCTAAAATACTTCAATTTCTGTCTTTTTTTATAAACGACACCAATGTCACTAAATTATTAATTAATTTACTTTTTATATTTAAAAACATATGATAATTTTTTAATATTAATTTAAAGACATGAAAATTTTTCAATAGTAAGAATATATGAAAATAATTCATTTATTTAAAAATAAATATATTTCTGATCATTTGTGTATGTTTTTATATCTAATCATACATGTTAATATATTTTATATCTTTCATATAAATATTAAGACTACATAAATAGCAAAGTCAAAATTTTATATATGAGTTATTTTAATTATAGTAATGATGTATAAATATATTTTATTTTTATATTATTTCTATTATAATTAAAATATAAATATTACCATGATGATTAAATATTTATTTACTTATTACATCGATTATTTTTGTAGAAAAATTATTTAATAAAATCATAAAAAACACAATAAAAAATAAACACTGAAGTTGACTACTTCAAAAATAAAATAAAAAAAATCAATAATTTAATATAATATACCCTAAGTTGATGATAATAATCAACTCAAAAGAGATGGGGTTTGTGCCATGTTTTCGTAACGTACGTAAACTTTCTATTTCATGGTCACATATTCTTTTAGTTCTAGCACGATCTATTTTTTAATTTTCTAATACACTTAACAAAATTATATTATAACTCGTTAAGTGATTTCATAGGTAAAAAAATGTTATTTTCTTTAAAAGTTTTACATTCAAACAATTGTGTTTGTAGGGTATATCTATATTATTAATAAATAAATTTTTTTGAATAAATACTATCTTATAATCACATCAAACTATTAAAAATTAAATTATAATTGAAATAAATAAAAATTATAAGGATGTCAATTGGGGATTTTGATTCTTAATTTTTTTCATTGAGAGATTGTGTTTTTTTATTCAATTTCTTCCATAACCATTTTTTATATTTAAATTATTGAAGGTCACTAAATTTACATTTACGAGGAGGAAGTGTACTTTTTTGCTTCACAAAAGTAAAAAAATCAAAACACTATCACGTTCTTAAAGATAATCTAGTATATTCCTCCTTAAATTGAAATATTTTAGAATTTGAGTTTTAGAATGTAATTGAATTATTTTGGAATTTAGGGTTTAGAATGAAATCGAATTACTTTAGAATTTGGGGTTTAGAATGAAATTGAGGAATGTTTTGTAAGTTTTAAAAGTTAGGGACCTAAATTCAAGTGCCTGAAAAGTTCAGTGACCATTTATATAATTTAACCTAATTTTTATAGGTGTGTGACCATATTGCAAACGTATTAAATGTTGGGGGATTATATTGTAAGTTTTAAAAGTTGAGGGACCTAAATGCAAGCTTCAGAAATGTTCAGTGACCATTACTATACTTTACCCATATAATAACAAACATTTTTTTCACAAAGTTTTGGTTCAATCCACTTTATGACATTCCTTCATCCAATAGGGACAAGTATTACATCTCCTTCAGATCTCCTTTGTAAAAGACCTCCTTCACAAGTTATAGTAGGCCACACCTTCATTGTTATTCCCCTTAAGCTCAACAACCTTCAAAGTTCCTCAAAATTTTCGAAGATTTTTATCTTTCAATTAGCTACCACCTCTTAACATGATTATTGATAAGTTAAACATGATCTATTGACAATCAGACCTATAAACAGTCAATCAAGACTAGGCTTACATCAACACTAATGACATGCATATAATCATCATGCAAGGTTGAAAAAAAGGATGATGTTTCTTTCTCATTTTTGAGATCATCTTTTTCAACTCAATTTATTCGCTAAAGAATTAACAATTACAATTTTTTTATCATAACTAGAAAGAGTGAATCATCAAAAATTAAGAACGACCCATAATTTTCCTATCGACGTTCATAAATCTTAAGAATGATGATCAGAGGATTGAATACATATACATTTCATCCATTTCTGTATTGTAAGATGTTCACTAAATTTAAGCACGTAGCTAAAAGTAAACAAGTCCACTTAAGTCTTATATTTCAACCTATGAGATTAGATTGATTTAACTCATTGTCTTTCAATGTGTGTTTCAATATTCCATGAATTATATGTTATTTATAAAATTGAGTGAATCTTAAAATTAGTTTTTAAATAAATAAAATATTTTAAATTGGATCAAACTATAAATTTGAAGATAAATGCATTGTTGAATAACTGATTTGAAAGATAAATGCAATGTTTGGAGATAGTTTTCTTATAATGCTCGACTCTAATTTGTGATTGTCGATGATTTTTAAATAGTTTAATATCTTGTTGTGATTCATTTATCAATGCAGTCCGATCTGTTCATATATATATATTGTTCAAACTTTTTGGATGAATTTTCCTTGTATAATTTCAAGGAGATAGTTTATTTATTCAATTTATAGAAAATTTTATAATTATACATTTAATTTACGTTTATAGCCGTAAATATTCATTGTAATTTTATATACTTTTTATATTTTTTAACAATTTTTTAATAAAAATAGTGACCTCTATTTACATAAAAAAGTATACTTATAGAAATACTTTTAAGAGTTGAAGTATTGTTAAAATATAATTAATATTATGAATTATTAAGTGTAATTTATTTCAAGCCCTTAATAATTATAAAAAGAAAAATTCATAAATAATTGATACAAAAACAATGTAATAATATAAAAAGTATTAAATGCTTATTTTATAAAGAGAAAAAATCATAAATTATTGATAAAAAATTATATTAATAATTTTAAAAAAGTATTAAATGTTTATTTTTGTTTCTAATATAAAAATCTAATATTATTGTTTTTCTTTCGATTTTACCCTCATGTCTCTCCTCGCAACTTATGTATTGTTTTATATATTAAAACTCGTGACTTTCTTTTTCTCTACTCTTTTGAGTTTGTTCATTTTTTTTTGTCATTTTTATCTTTCAAAGAGGAAACAAGACCATTTGAATTTTATTTCCTTCATTTGGATATAAACATGACAAATTTCTAATATCCT